AGATGCACAATTTTAAATCAAATACCAAATTCAAATACCTTTTATATTTAAAGTTTTTTTAATGCTTTTAGTAGATATATATTAGCTATTAAAGAATTTGCAACTATTTGGACACCCTGTACAATATAATTTTATAATGATTGTTTTAATGCTCTGTATCACAGTAGACATATGTAATGAACTAAATATAATGCAACCAAAGATATCGGATAATAGATACGCCTTGTATACATTACACTTGTCCGCACCTTTTTTTTGACGGTACGCTCTTCCTATGTTGTCAGATCTCTTTCATCAAATACCAAACATTAAATTTTTATTTAAAAAGTTACTATTACCTTTAATACAATCTAATAAAAAAAGGAAATAAAGACTTGAAAGCATCAATATGAGTTTTTTATTAATTGCAATCACTTAAGACTTTTAAGTAGCTCTTTTTACATGTGTATCATATGTAAATATTAAACATTTTGGTATAAATCATTTAACTTTGGCAACCTAAGACATTTTGCTGATGTTGTCAAAGTGACAGATCACGTTTTATTGTGATTTTTGTGGTTTTTTGTAGTTTTCAAGAATAATTTAAACCCTGAAATTTTTATTAAGGACTTTTACGATGGGGAGGAAATGTATAGTGTGCCGAAATACGCAGAATAAGAATGCTAGAATGTTAGCCCTCTCTAGTGTTTAATTTTAGAATTAAATGGGGTAAACATTGCAAGTAAATAATAAAGGATATTTTTTTAAATATTAAATATAGTTAAAAATAGATACCGGCCCGTACCAAACAATCGTGTACATGGTCAAAATGACATAAAATGTGAAACATTATTAAAATCTGGACATGTATATACATTTTAAGCAAAAAGATTTAAATGGCTAAGTGACAATAAATTGTAAAGTTGTACCTTAAACAAGTGTATCCAATGTAAAAATATCGGTATTTAGTAACACTGAATTTAAAAGTATTACAATAACATTTAAAAAATGTAAATTAATAAAAAAGATTGATAATAATAATAAATATTTTTAGCTTTATGTCGAAATGTCATTCATCCACTGACGTTTATGAGATGTCCAATGATACATCTATAAAAAAATTATGAAAAGCGGGTTGCAATGTGCCTTTCCTAGTGCTCACTAAATAGAGCCGTTCTAGCCCAAATGCGTTTTAAAATAAAATTTGAGCATTTTAATCTTTAGAAAAAGAAAATAATTAAAGTTTTACTTCAAGACATGTTATTATGTATTTGGAAAGTTGAGTTTCCATGTAGTTAAATAATATTAAGAGATCTAAACAATTTTTATAACAGATGGATGTAAATAATTTTAGACTACTCTCATTTCAGAAATAATACTACATAAAATACATAATTGCAATATGTAATACAATTTTAAAAAGGTAATGCAAACAACTTTGATATGAGGTATAAACAACTTTGGTAAGAGTTGTAATTGGACAATTATCTATTATTCTGAATAATGTTTAATGGTAATATCACTAAAAAAAATTACAAAAAATGACTGGATTTTTAATATTTTAAAGTTTGTTGCATTCTCTTTTGACAGTAATTGCAATGTATTATTTATGATTTGTTTATTTTAATAATGAGAAATATTTAATAAATTGTAAAGAGGGCCAGGGTATTTTTGTCAAATTGGACATTCTTATTTCATAATAACATTCTACATTAGTTTTAATCAACAGAATAAACCATTAATTATCTGTAAAATTATATTTATATAAAATGTTCTTTTAAATATGTAAAAATCTTAATGACAAGAAAACACTAAAGATTCTAATTTCTAAACCGGTTCTGTAAATGATTTCTTTACAACTACGTGTTCAAAATTGATACAAGCTAGATAAAAAGAAAACTTTGCCCAGTGAAATACGCTTTTCGTCGTCTGATTTACATATGGATAAGCAATCTTTGTAATTATGTATATCATTGGGTGTGAGACATTAATTATTGTGCTCTGTGGAAATTTATAAAATTTCTTTACTATCGAATGAAATCCAGGTTTCCAAAGTGATGTGTTTGTACATCCACGGATGCAACAAGTTTTTTCGATAATGATATTACGAAAATAATTCGACTTTATTTAATTAATCATTATTAAACAATAAAGGCCGTATAAAACATTAATAAATACCCCCCATAAAGTTCACATTTTTGTCACCAGTTAGCGTTAAAGTCATGACGCACGGTCCCTATTCGGTCATTGCATAAATAAGATTATGTTAGCATAGACGTAGGCATATACAGGGAATAAGGCTTAATTTATTTCACTGTGTAAAGGCATTTAGCATTAGCATTGTTTATTTAAATAATAATGTTCTATATTTTCTGATCAGGTTTCCTAGAGAAATTATTCAACGTAGAATTTGGCTGCAAAATCTATGCTTGGTGGAGGAAAACATTATGAAAATGAAAGAAGCCTTAGTATATGTTCTGACCATTTTTGTATGGCAGATATTTATGAAAATTTAAGTGGTAGACACATCTTAAAACATAATGCTATACCTATCAAATAAGTACAGTATTTATTATGGGTATTTTTATTATATGTAAGCTCTAAAATTATACAGTAATCATCACATTTTACAAGAATTTTGGGAGAGGTAGTTGAATAGGCGAAAAATGAAGAAAAAAATCCTTTTTTGTTAGTGCAGTTCGTAACAGATGCTTCAATAACAATCTCACATGGAGATTGTTTCAAAATTGTTATAAAAAATTATTAATTCATAATGAAGTAAAGTCAAATAATGCAATTGCTTTAGATGGCACCAGCATCTTGGATTGTAGCAACACTAGTAGCCAAATTGCGTTAAATTTAAAATAATGTTACGAATCAGACACTAAAGAAAATTTGGAATTTACAAATGAGCTTCGTGACCATGATTACCTATCTATATATTTTCTGAGCGAATACATTCAGGATGTAGTTATTTATATTTCTGGTTTTATATTAAAATCCTTAAAGAAAAAGATTCACTGCAAACAGTGTTCTGCAATTGAATCAGTCAGTTCGAAAACCGTACAAGTCTCAAATTTGACATTTCAAAATAAGCCATTTCGTTTAAAATTTGTCTCTTCATCGATGCGCTAGTTCAGTGATGATGTAATTATGGTTCCACTGACAATTAAAGTGACAGTAGATTTTTTTGAGTCCGTTTTGTTTACCTAAATTATATCGTTTTTTTCACTTTTATTAATATATTCCTAAAGTAAGTAGATAGCATGTATCAAATATACAATCATTTAGTTACCAATTATATACCTTTAAACTATTTTTTATGACCTGTAAACAATATTTTGAAATAAAATAAAAACAGTAAAAACGTATATGTCAAATTTATTGATGTTTCTGTTATAAGTTTGGTTAGAATTAAATGTCAGTGGAACCAAAATGACATCGCACTGAACTAGCGCATTGAGCTTAAAAACCATACTAGATACCTAGCTGTTAATGTAGTACAGCTGATTATACCCGTGAAATTAGGTGAAAAACCGTACATATCTGCGACTCGTACGGTTTTTCATTTCAATACCAAAATAATGGTTAGTTGCTATGGTCAGTTGGAAAAACACAAATACTGAAAATGATGACTGAGGTAACAGTTTTGATATTGTATTTTTCCTCCTTTTTGAATAAATATAAAATAAATCTTTTCTCTTCGACAGACTTTCTGTCTCAACTGTCAAAGGTGCTACTTTCTGTTCTTAATACACAAATAGCTATTTTGTCTTTTATTCCAAAATATGCTTTACAAAATATCAGTTATCTTATAACACTAAATAAATCTATTGAGCAGATTATTCACCAAGAGTGTTTGTAGGAGTAACCATTGATAGTAAAATGACATTCGAAATGTCACAAAAGAAGCTTCCTTTAGTGTTTTTTCTATTCGGACAAATTAGAAATAAAGTATCTCTTGATAATCTTAAGCTAATGTGTTTTAGCCTTGTCCAGATATTATAAAATCATTGCTGATTGCTGTCCTAAATTATATCATTACACAAATAATTCTAAAAAATAGGTGTCGTGACATGCAACCCAAATGGTATGTAATAGAAAGATCATATTTGTATATTTATGTATCTGAAATAAAATTATTCTGTTTTTAATAGCTTTTTATTTCATAAAAAAAAGGTAGTCCGGCAATATAATTATTCTTTTTTCGACCTGTAGAAAAGGTTTTCAGAGTACCCATGTAAATATAATAATAAATGGCTTTATATTTTTACTTGCTCTTTGCTCTTCATGTATTTAAAAAAAAAACACAATAAAATACCAACAAAAATGTTCTTCAACTTTGAGCTAACTACTATTTTAATCTATAAGAAAATATATAAAATGACTATTTGAATGCCCTGTATAAATTGAATATGTTTTCTTTAAATTTACCTTTGATTCCGAAGACCCATAGGTTATTGATTTGGTCATTAAATAATTTTTACTAAAAATATATGTAAACCCTCCCGAAACACTACGTCAATGTGCGACGTACGATTCCCCTTTCCCCGTCTGGTAAAACATGCGGACAGAAGGTGTATTGGGTATACAGTGTGTAGGGCGAGTCTATCTTAGATAATATGATGTCTATAAATGCAACCATCTCTTTTAAAGTCAAATACATTTATTAATTTGTATTGCAGGTTAACCCAGTTTATGTCGCTCACCTATTTTCGTCCAGAAATGTCACTAAAGTCTGGGAGACCGTGTATGGCATTTATTTTATAGTTTCACTTTACAAAATATGTTTTTATCGTAATAAAAAAATAATTTCACAATTACACTCTTTTATTTTACATTTTTGCAAGACGGAAAAGTAAAATACGGCCCTGCTCAATTTTAGCGTCCACCTGCTTCTGTTTACATCAGGCGTAAATTAAATTTGAATAGACTTTAGAATATTTTCAATCTCATTTTCTCAAAATTTGCATTTTTTTGACTTATGTCACTTTTGAAGTAACCTAGATATTTTTACTCACTTTTTATTTTTCTTTTTATCGCTATCGTCCGATTTTTCATCATCGCTTCCACGTTTGTCGTTCTCTTCGTCATCGGAATCGCTTAAAACGATCAATTTGTGACACTTTTTTGTTGGTTTCCTTTAACAAAAATATCATAAAATGAGAACTAGCTCAAATACGCTCTTATCGAATAAAATAGAAAATACCTGTTTGTTTTTTTCTTTTTATCATCATCATCGGATTCTTTATTACTATCTTCCGAATCAGAAACATTTTCTTTCTTGACTTTCTTGCGGTTTTTGTTTGTTTGTTCTTCATCCGATTCGTCAGAATCATTTTTCTGAAAAAGAGTATAGTAATTTAAAACAACCAAAATTAATATTCGTAATCACTTACTTTTTTCTTCTTAATTTTTTTTTCCTTAGCTTCATCTTCATTATCGCTTGTTTTCGACGTATTTTTATCAGTTTCTTCATCACAATCTTTATCTTCATTATTGTTTTCTGGTATTTCATCATTGTTTACACTTTCATCGTCGCTTGATTTAGTTTCTGTTGCCTTTTTGTTGATCGAATTATCATCGACATCGCTTTCTTGGTCTTTATCGCTTGACTTGGTTTTATTTTTATCTTCTTCATCGCTATTGGCACTTTCATCGCTATCTTTAGATTTCTTTTTCTTCTTTTTGCTTTCTGATTTCTTCGTCGAGTTTTCTTCGTCACTCTCCCGTTCTTTATCGCTTGGTTTGGTTTTATTTCTAGTTTTTTTGCCTTCCGTTTTCTTTTCGGTACCTTCTTCATCGCTACTGGCACTTTCATCGACGCTTTTAGATTTATTTTTGCTTTCTGCTTCCTTAGTCGATATTTCTTCACTTTCTCCATTTTCATCAGTAGATTTTGCTTTATTTCTAGTTTTTTTGCCTTTATCAGTTTCATCGGTTTTTGGGTCACTGTCTTCCTTTGCGGTTTCATCATTCTCTGTACTGACAGCTTCATCCATTATTTTTTCTTTGTTCCCTTCCTCTTCATCGATTTTTTTACCTTTATCTTCCTCCAAAAGATCATTTTGTTCTCCAGTTTTTGTAGTGTCCTCTTTCTCTTTTGAGTTATCTTCATCAGTATGTGAAACTTCATTAGTTTTTTTATTATTTCTCTTTATAGTTTTTTCATCTTCATCCGTTTTGTCATCATCTTCTTCTTTATCGCTTCCTTCGCTGCTTTTAGTTTTGCTCTTATCTTTTTTACTTTCAGTTGAATCAGTTCCGCTTCCTTTTTTGTTCTCTTTCTTTTTGTGCTTATCGGCATTTATTTCTTTGTCATTTGGCATGTCCTAATTGTAGAAAAAAATATTAAGTCTCTTGGAATAGCTATTTATAAGGCTAAATATACTTAAACTCGATTTTTATAAGGCAAACAGACAGTTATAATACTTTGATAACGCTAAATGGTCCTAAACTATATTTTTCAACAATTAAACATATTTAAATTGAAAAAAAAAAATTAATCGAGCTTTTTATAAAACTAAACCAATTTAAATTATACTTTTTACAGTTAAACACCCTTAAGTAAGTTTTAAATGGCTTTTATAAGAATAAATGAACATATTATAAAACTAAACAGTCTTGAACTAAATTTTTCTACAGCTTTAAAATACATTTTTCAACAGCTAAACAGCCTTAAACAAATAAAACCTTAAATGGCTGTTATAGGACTAATTAAACTTTTTATAAGACTAAAAAGCCTTAAACTACATTTAGCTAAATGTCCTCAAACAAGAAAAATACCTTAATTACTTTTATGGGGGGATGGGGGAATTTGTTTAATAGTATGTATATATTTTTTTGTTATTTAAAGTTTGAAACATTAAATGAATAGATTACAGCTACTGATTAAAAATCAAAAATGATGTGTTTCATGGTTTTTGGATTTTCACATTTTAAGTAGGGGAAACGGGGGTAAAAATTTGTTTAGAAGTATAAATTTTTTGAACGTTGGAACTTGAAAATTATAATTGTAGCATAAATAAATAATGACGTGCTCTGTGGTTAGATTTTTGTAAGGTAGTATCATAAAAATAAACTAAAATAAACTAAAATTAAAAAAATAATTATTAATAAAAATTAATAAAAATTAATAAAAATTAATAAAAATTAATAAAAATTAATAAAAATTAATAAAAATTAATAAAAACTAATAAAAATTAATAAAAATTATTAAAAATTAATAAAAATTTGTAAAAATTTGTAAAAATTAGTAAAAATTAATATAAATAATAAAAATAAATAAAAATGAATGAAAATTAATAAAAATAAATAAAAATTAATAAAAATTAATAAAAATGAATAAAACTGAATAAAAATGAATAAAAATTATTAAAAATAAATAAAAATGAATAAAAATGAATACAAATGAATAAAAATGATTACAAATGAATAAAAATGATTAAAAATGAATAAAAATGAATAAAACTGAATAAAAATGAATACAAATGAATAAAAATTAATAAAAATGATTAAATATGATTAAAAATTAATAAAATAAATAAAAATAAATAAAAATGAATAAAACTAAATAAAAATGAATAAAAATAAATAAAAATGAATAAAAATAAATAAAAATGAATAAAATGAATAAAAATGAATACAAATTAATAAAAATGAATAAAAATGAATAAAAATTAATAAAAATGAATAAAAATTAATAAAAATTAATAAAAATTAATAAAAATTAATAAAAATTAATAAAAATTAATAAAAATCAATAAAAATGAATGAAACTGAATAAAAATTGTTAAAAATAAATAAAAATTAATAAAAATTAATACAAATGAATAAAAATGAATACAAATGAATAAAAATGAATAAAAACGAATAAAAATAAATAAAAATAAATAAAAATGAATAAAAATGAATAGAAATTAATAAAACTAAATAAACATGAATAAAAATAAATAAAAATAAATAAAAATAAATAAAAATAAATAAAAATAAATAAAAATAAATAAAAATAAATAAAAATAAATAAAAATAAATAAAAATGAATAAAAATGTATGAAAATGAATAAAAATGAATAAAAATGAATAAAAATGAATAAAAATGAGTAAAAATGAGTAAAAATGAGTAAAAATAAGTAAAAATGAGTAAAAATTAATAAAAATGAATAAATATAAAAAAATTAATGAAAATCAATAAAACTAATAAAAAAAGGAAGTCATGTATTTTTTTATATTAATAACACGACTACATGTGAGCAAAGCCGCGGGCAACAGCTAGTCTTTTAATAAAGCTAAATAGCAGCACTCACCTCATCTACATTTTCCAAATTATCTTTAATAGAATTATCGTCAGATTTACGTTCTTTTACGATTTTATCTTCTTTCGTTTTGGTTTTTTTATTCTTCGAGTTTTCATTATCACTGTCATGTCCAGACGTCGCTCTGTTTCGTTTGCTACTCCTGGTACTGCTACAAATTCAATAAGAAAATTAAGCAACGTTAGAACTTAAAAGCCTTAAAAGTCGCTTTGAATCTCACAATTCTAACAAATGAAGCCTAAAATCTGACAGCTGTCATTAAGTGACCATTAGGTATTCAAACTACTTGTCAAATAATAGATGTCGGGGGGGCAGGGTTGGTATATCTAATAGACGTTCCATCTTGGATGCTATTTTTATTTCGAAAAATTACATTTTCATGATGTTGCTAACTTAAAGCTGACTATCATTTCCCCTCTATTAATTTTATGAGTCTATGTCGCAACCCCTTGCATATACCAACCCTTCCCTTCGGCAGGCATTTTGTTTGGAATGCCCAATAATTGATTGACAATTACTAACTGAGAGATGTCAGATATGATCAATTACTGTTAATGGAATGAAATGTGTTAAGTAAAACCAAATTATCTCTGAATAATAGAATGATTTTTGAAGTTAGTTATTTAAATTTTGGGTTTTGACAAACCTTGAACATGCAAAAATATCTTTATTGGTATTATAAACCTCCTTCAACTTGTGGCACTGAATTAATGGTAACGGAACGTACACTTTTTTCTTAAACTTCGGATCAGAAATTTTGCTGTTTCTAGTCTTTCCTCTTCCATGAGATTTACTATCTGACTCATCAGACGAAGAATCTAACACTATATGTTTGTCTCGTTTAGTATCTTTCGAATTATCTTTGTTTCTCTTAGAACGCTTACCAACTATTTCAAAATTCTTATCAGAGGATCTTTTAAATATCTTTTTCAGCTCCACTCTGTTGAGTTCTTTTTTAGTTTGAACGTTTTTCAGCCTGGAAGATTTTCTGGAATTATCAGGAGAGCTGTTTTCCTTTATTTCCTCTATGTTAACCTCAGGTTCAAATATATCGGCAGTTTTTGAATGTTTATCAGATGAAGTCTTACTAGAGGATTTCAAACCGTTTTCATTGAGTTTAGGAGGAATCACTGGGGTGTCTTCTTCGTCAGAACTGGTCAGAATGATGACAGAACTATCGAATTTGACGGATTTCTTTTGTTTTGGGTCTATTAATTTGTTTAAGTCTACCACCCTTATTATTGATTTACTAAATGTTGGTTTAACGTCTAAATCATCACTGTCACTAATTTTCGGTTCGTTGGTGGCTTCATTGGTGGCTCCATTAGTAGCTTCATTAGTATCTTCATTGGGAGCTTCAATGGTGGCTCCATTAGTGGCTTCATTAGTATCTTCATTGGGAGCTTCAATGGTGGCTCCATTAGTGGCTTCATTAGTATCTTCATTGGGAGCTTCAATGGTGGCTTCAATAATAACTTCATTGGTAGTTTCATTGGTTACTTCATTAATAGCTTCATTGATAGCATCATTGGAGGCTTCACTGATGAAAATGTCTTCAGTACTAGTATTATTGGTATATACAGCTTCTTCAATAGCATCTGTTAGAAAAATACACCAAATAATTATTTTAGAATGAATACATTACAGTACATGGCTCCATAATGAATATTGTTAAAAATACATATAAAAAGAAAATAAAAGCAGCGCGTTATAGCAGAAAAGAAATATAAATGAGGAAATAATGGAATAAATAAAAAGCAAATTAGACAATGCGGAAGAAAGGAACATAGGAATTAAATAAAAGCTAGATTATCTTGTACCTTCAGTTCAAATAAACAAGAAAGAAGACTTAGATCTTCTAAGTGGAAATAATAACTAATGTAAACAAAAAACTAACTACAGACTGTTGAATAAAACATTATTAAAATGGCTAATACAAGTCCCAAATTTGATAACAATCTTGATGAGTTTAAAAATGAAGCAAATCAATCTGTTTTTTCTATATTATACTTAAACGCTCGCTCAGTACGTAATAAGTTAGATGAAATTGAAGCACTTAGTAAACTTGTCTATCTACCTGATGTAATTGTTATTACAGAATCCTGGCTTTCTCCTAGTGAGGAAAACTATTTTAATTTGTCAGATTATAAAGCAATTTATGAATCAAGAAATAAAACGGGAGGTGGCATTCTAGTAAAAGAAGGCTACAATTTCACAGAAATTGACAGGTTAAGTGAAAAATGTTCTATGATATTTATAAGAATAGAACAAAGGAACTTTGTTATAGGTGCTATATATAGACCTCAAGATTTTGATAAAAACACTTTTTTAAACGTTTTAGAAGGAAAGTTAGAAAATATCAATAATCATAAAAAGAAAATGTTTATTTTGGGAGACTTTAATATTAATTGTTTAGATAAAAACATGTACACAGGGGAAATCAACTATAGGTGCAATCTGTGTAATAAAGCAAATAATGGAAAATGCATATGAACACAAAATAGAATTAGAAATGCTTTTTATTGACTTTAAACAAGCCTTTGACTCAATAAATATGTACAAATGCATCAAAGATTAAAAAAGTGCGTTTTTTAAAATTAGGATATTTTTTGAAAGACGTAAGCGATAAAAATGGTATTATTTTATGTAATAATTTTTACTACAAACAATAACCAAAATGATTTACACAGAAAACGCACAAAAAGAATGAAAATAATAAGCTAAAACCGAGGCTAAAACATGTTTTTTTTGCATCTAGTGCATTAACAGTATTGGCTATTGAACACTTTCCAATATGCTTTGTTAATTATGTCAAAGATAGCAGAGCACCTAGGCAATTATGAATTGAAACCTATGCCATATTTTTAGGCTATTTTAAGGCTGTTTTTATAACCTATTCAATAATTTTATGCTCCTCATTTTTTGCAAAAATTAAGGTGCTTTGCTAGCTTCAAACGAATCCAGCAGACTACCTGGGTTTTTTTAAGCTTTTTTTTTTTTCTAAAAACAACCACACCATATTTTTAGGCTCTTGAAATATAAAACTATTCTAAAAAAAGTCTACTTTTTAATATTACAGGGTGCTTTGTTCGAATAAAGCCAGCAGAGCACCTCCGTTTTTTTAAAGGTTTTTCCTAAAAAGAACTGCACCTCATTTAAGGTTATTTTTTAGTTCTTAAAATATTATAAATCATTCTAAAAATGTTTGCCTTTTGTTAAAAATATGACATGCTTTGCTAACTTTAGAATGAAGCCAACTAGAAAAAAGTGGTTTATATCATTGAATTTCTCTTTAAAAGCTCTACAAACTGGTTTTTACTCATTCATGCTAGGTTGTCTGTAAGGCAATAGGATTTTCAGATTGAATTTTAAGAGAAAAACATTTTTGTTAAATAACTTGACTATGGTTTAAACTAGGAAGAAGTGGTTTGCATCGTTGATTTTCTCTTTAAAAGCTCTAAAAACTGGTTTTTACTAATTCATGCTAGGTTGTCTGTAAGGCAAGATAATAGGATTTTAAGAGAAAAATGTTTTTGTTAAATAACTTGACTATCTTTTAAACTAGGAAGAAGTGGTTTGTATAGTTGAATTTCTTTTTAAAATCTCTACAAACTGGCTTTTACTAATTTATGCTGGGTTGCATGTAGGGCAAGATAGTCAAATTTTCAGATTTAATTTTAAGAGAAAAACGTTTTTGTTAAATAACTTGACTATCGTTTCAACTAGGAAGAAGTGGTTTGCATCATTAAATTCCTCTTTAAAGGCTCTACAAAATGGTTTTTAAAAAGTCACCGCTGAGTTTATTTTTATTTATTTATTTTATTTAGTTATTTATTTATTTATTATTACATTACTCAACAGGTCAAGACCCAATTACAGAGTAAGAGTACAAGAATATATAAATACAATTAATTTAGAAATAATATACTAATTGAATGAACAGCAGGTGAGAAAAAAAAACTAAGAGAATTATTTTTCTAGCATTTCATGAATATATGCAAAACTAAAGATTTCAGACAACATTATTATAGAAATAACACCTAATATTATGAATTGAACTATAAAACAAATCAAGCTGGCAAGTTACTAATTCATAATTATTACACATGGTGTATATAAGAGATTTTAAGAGAACATTTGTTCTGGGTGTGTTCAAGTTCCTGGAAGTTATTCAAGGAACTGCAAAATTAAAACTATGAATCAAATATGAAAAATCAACTGTAAAATGAACTGTCTTAAATAGCAATACCACAGAATAATATTTATGTCTTGTATGAAGACTCCAAAACTTAACCATAAGGCTAGAAAATAGGATTTTCAGATCAAATTTGGGGTAATTTTAACAGAAATAAGCTTCTCGATTTTATTAAACCACGCCATATTAATTTTTTAGTCTATTTTTAGACTCTTGAAATATAAAATATTCGCTCAGCAGAGAAAAACAACATTTTTTTTTTAAACAACTACATCAAGTTTTTAGGTTATTTTTATGCTCTCAAATATATATAATTTTCAGAAAAATACTAGTTAAACCGAGGTACTCTGCTGACTTTGTTCAAAAAAACTTTAAAAAACAGAAGTGCTCTGCTAACTTTTTTCAAAGCTAGCAAAGCACCTTGATTTTTCCACAAAACGATGAGTATAAAGTTTTTGAATAGGATATAAAAATAGCCTAAAAATATGGCATATGTTTCAACTCAAAATTGCCTAGGTGCTCTGCTGCCTTCTTTGACATTTGCTAATGTCAAACTAAATCATAAACAATGATTAACCTTAGCTAAGATCTATTTTATTTATTTGTTGTCCTTGATGATATCCAAGGATATCACTAAATTGATAATACTTATTTGATTTGGGATTTTACCAATACACCTTGAAAATTGTATTCTGAATGCCGATAATTAAGCTAGAACTATTAGGTTTCTTTTTTGTTTTAGTCATTGTTTATGATTTATGACTAAGTTCTATTTTTTCTATCTGTTTTAAAGGATTTTTTTTATAGTAAACTGGTAAATTTAACTGTAATAATGATACTTAGTTAATTTAAGGTACCACTATTTTGTTTAATCTTTGGTAATGAATATGAGCTTACAACATGAATATTGTTTATGCTACACTCTCTACATATCTATTTTCAGAACTGTAGGGGACTCAAGAGTAAGTGTAATGATTTTTTTTAGATCTTGTCATAATGAAGACTACGATATTATAATTGCCGTCGAAACATGGTTACAGGAGTCAGTGCATGATGGTGAAATCGTAGACAATAGCTTATATAATTTAGTAAGGGCAGATAGGAATTTGGTAATAACAAATAAGAGAACAGGTGGTGAAGTATTTATTACAGTTAAGAAAAATGTTAAACTCTTAAACATAGTAAAGCATAGTTCTATTTTTGAGGCAGTCATTGTAGAAGTTCAGATTAATTTTGTGAAATACAAATTATGTGTAATATACATTCCATCAGGTAGTGCATTTAAAATATATGAAACTGCTTTAGAATTTTTACAGAATAATTTAGTGAATTTTGACATGAAAAAAATATACAGTATGGTTCAAATGAAAGGAATAAATTCATTATAATGGAAGTAGTTGGTTTTTCGAAAAAATGCTCGGACAGGTCAATTTTGTTTACTTAAGGCGCAATTTTTTAAATAGAATTCAATTTTCCCCCACTTCCCATTTTTGGGCAGTGACGTCATTGACAACTTTTTTAAATAGTAACCCCAATTTTTTTTTCTTGATTTTGATAGATCTTGCAATTTCCTACTCAGAAACATAATATTTGTAATATCTGACATAACAATTTTTTTTGAACAAGTCATTTAAAGATCAGATACATAAATTTTATTTTATTTTGAAACACAAAAAATTAATAAAAGATTATTTGTAATTAAGTGCTTCATCTAAAATAATAATAATAATAATAATAAAAAGAATTTAATGAAAATTTCACAAATTCTTTTTTATTTTTATTTTGTTAGATTAGGCACTTAATTACAAATAATTATCTTTTATTCATTTATTGTGTTCTCAAAATAATATCAAATTTATGTGTCTGATCTTTAAATGACTTTTATTAAAAAAAATTGTTATGTAAGATATTTCAAATATTATGTTTTCGAGTAGGAAATTGCAAGATCTAACAAAATCAAAAAAAAAAAATTGGGGTTACTATTTAAAAAAATTGTCAATGACGTCACTGTCCAAAAATGGGAAGTGGGGGAAAATTGAATTTTATTTAAAAAATTGCGCTTTGAGTAAACAAAATTGACCTGTCTGAGCCTTTTTTCGAAAAACCAACTACTTCCATTATAGAGGTGTGTCGTTCGCGAACGATTCGTTCAAAAAGAACGAATCAGTGCACTGACTCGAATGAATTGATTCCCTGTTTTTAAAAGATTCGAATCTTTTTTGAGTCAATTGCTCGATGGCTCTGCGATCGATCAAACACGCCGAGTTCCGAGTTTGGTTGCTTCGTTCATTCGATTCGGATTCGGTATTTGGTATTTTACATCGGCATCGGCAAATTGGTCGCTTTTGTTCTACGTTCTACGGCATAATACGAGAACTCTAACTGACAGGCGGTGGCGGTATGTGTCTTTAATGTTTTTCTCACTTTACAGGAGGTGTGTATTAAGCTTAGGTAAACAATTTATGCGTGTTTGATAAATAAATTTAAATCAAAGTAAAATTAAAACAAAAAATGACGAATCGTGAATATATAATTTTGCGTTAATTTTGGCTATATATTTGGCATTTAAAAAAAATTGTGTTATTGTTGTTTATCTTAACGGACAAGGATGTATTTATTATTCAGCTGCCTTTTTTTTTATGAAATATGAAACATTAATTTGCTTTACTTTAAAATAAATCTGGTTATAATTATTTTACTCAACGACCTAGTAGGTAGGTAGGTTAGGTAGTACTCAAATTCGTAAAAGTTCGGTTCGATTTCCTTCGCCGGATCGGCGGAATAACATCGTTCGTGGTTCGCTAAAGTGAATCACTTGAGAACGAATCTTGAAGAACGAATCTTTTTAGGTGAATGAATCAAATGAATTAATTCAGTAAAAAGATTCGAACTTCCCACCTCTATTCCATTATAATGAATTTATTCCTTTCATTTGAACCATACTGTATATTATGGCGGATTTTAACATCAATAGTATTTCAGGTAGGTATAAACTATGATCGTTCAATCAATAATAATATTTTAAATCATTTTCAAGATTTTGTAGATTTTAATGGATTGAAGTTATTCAATGACATAAAAAACTTTCAAGGAAGAACACTAGATTTAGTTATAAGTTCAGAAAATAATTTTAATAATTGTCTAGTTCAAAGAGATTTTAAAAAAATACAAACTGTTAGGGATTGTGTAAGTTTACAAAAAGATATAAACAACATAAATGAATGGTGTTATAAAAATAAATTAAATTTCAATACAAAAAATCAAGTAGTATGACAATAAGTAGATTGAAAAATCCTGTTATTTTCGATTATCTTATAAATGGAGAAGTAATAGAACGACGTACAGAGGTAACACTTAGGTACATATAACCTACAATTGTGTTCTTAACTTTTTCTAATCATATAACAAATATAGTTAAGGCTGCAAATATAATTCTGGGGTTCATAATTAGGCAAACTAGAAGTTTTACTAACATAGAATCTATAAAAATTCTTTATTATGCTCTTGTTAGACAAAAACTTGAATTTGGAGCTGAGGTATGGATTGGGGAACATCCAACTAATCTATATGAGATTGAAAAAATACAGAATAAATTTCTTAGATATCTTTATTTCAAAAAAACTCCATATATACCCAGACTACAATATTGTTAGAACTGCAAACTTAAGAAAAGAATTTAAAATACCTTCCCTTCACACCAGAAGGAATATGATAATGTTGACTTCTTTATATAAAATTATTAACTATAAAATTAACTCACCTGAGCTACTATACTTAATACGATTTAATGTACCTTCAAGGAGAATGAGACATCCATGTATGTTTAATATTCCTTTAGTTCTTACCACTACCAGGTCACCTCTTGTGACCATGCTCCGATTGGCAAATAATATTAACACTTTTATTGATGTAGATTGGACACTACCATTTAATATGTTTCGAAAACTTGTATTTAATTATTACATTACTCTTGATTAATTATTACTGTACTGAATAAGTTGTAATATTAGTTGTAATTACCTACTGTTTATTATTAATATTATTATTTATGTATTATGATACTTTTATCCATGTAATAAGGCCATTTGCCTGTTTGGATACAAATAAATAAATAAAAAAAACTACATTAGGGCATGTAGGAAACTAATAATAGCTGTGTAATGTGAACAGACAAAAGGAGAGATATATCCACATTCGGTTCTGGCTACATTAATATTATTCATTTCCAGCTAGAGCTAATGCTAACTCTTTGTATTTCTCACTAGGACATTAGCAAAGCCTATTAAAATTCCTTAGATTACCAACACTGTATAGGGATCAGTAAAAAATAAAAAAATTGGTACGTCACAGCTTATATATGAAAATCATTTATTTTTCATCATGAACATTTATACCTGTTTCCTGTATAATAGAGGGCGTTTGTAAATAAGTGCAAAAGACTTTAGGAGGTTGTTGTTAAAAAAATGAAATTTAAAAAATGTAAATTCGAAATTAGCAATAAAAAATGTAAATGTTTTATTAGTTTTATTATTTCAAAAAGTTTAAGATATTGATTCGAAATTAGCAAAACAAAGCCTTGGAGGGATACATGTGTTTGAGATGGTCTTAAAATTTCTACTTGCACCAGTGGCACCCTGCAAGAATGACACACCTTTTTTTAATAAAAAAAAAGGTGCACCACTGACTTTCCTCATTAACTTTTTTTAACAAAATAACTTCAGCAACCACTCCTTAAAATCTTTCGCTCTAATTTGCAAACACCCTGTATATACTAGATGATAGGGACATCAAATTATACTTCATTATACAGGAAATGGTAGAGGATTCGTTAAAATTACCCATCAATGATGAAACAGCAAATTTGAGAACATTTAAAAAAGAAATTAAAAAAATATGTTAAATACAACTGGAGGCATATACTGTGGAGGAATAAGTAACAAATTACAGCTTTGTAGAGATATATACTATACAAAAATATTTGCCCCATTTAATATGTTTATACATTAAGTAGTTCGCATTATATTAAATATGGACATTATAGATTTACTATTAATTAAATAATGCCATTAACTAACCTTTTTCCACCACATTTTCACTATTATCAACTGCACTATTTTCGATATTCGGCACAGACTTATCAATTAGTTCTCCACCATCTTCCGAATCTACATCAACTTCTATTTCTAACTTATCATATATCGCATAAAAATTAGTTTTACTCTTATCCGAAATTGTATACAAATCGTCTATAAATTGTTTAGAATTTTGCAGTAAATGTTTCTTTTTAGTGGTCTTTTTTAAATTGTTTTCTAAATCATCGGCAGCTTCCAGAAACTTCCTGATCTCTGAAATGCTATCTAGCGCGATAGAAATCGCTTCATCCTTTGACATCTTATTTAAAAGGAATTATAAATCTGAAATAAATGTACCGATAATTAATTGGAAAAATATTGTAATATTTTCCCGCCATACAAAAAAGTTACATGACATTTATCGAAAAGCTTAGTGTTAACCAATTTTATTGAACTCACAACAAGAGTTATTTCAAATAAAATCCAGACATTAATCACCTTTTACTCAAAATAAACATATTTTTCTTAACATCTAACAAAACAACGCCATTTTATACAATGGAATGGAACTGCTTAAAATTGTATGATGTATGATGTTTGATGTATGTCAAGGAAAATGTCAAAAAAATACTGACCGAGCAAAATGAATTTTCTCACTTTGATCACTTGTTCCCCTATGCAAAACTGTTAGCTTTATGAGTTTGTTCGCTTTTTTCAATTAAAGGAACAAAGAACTCCAAACTCTAAGAACTGTCAAAATTGTCAATTTTCAATTTTGTTTGGATGTCGGGAAACATGTTTGCCAATCTGCAACAATGTCCCTGAAATGTAACTGCAGTTATTTGCCGCCGTGTTACGGTTTTTCCATTGTTTAAAATTACAAACTTTAATACAAGGCATTTTTATTAACTTACTAGAACAAACTTATGTAACCAGCATTTCTTTGTAAGGTTTGATTACTCCAATGACGTCATGTTACCAAAGCATATATATAACTACATTTCTTTATAAGCATATATAACTACATTTCTTTATAAGCTTACTACTTACTTATAATAAAAAATAACAAAATCAAATATCCTAAAGTTTCTTAAAATTCAAATTTCGTTTAGAGATCCCCAAACTTAAATTAAATTTAACATGTATGACATTAAATACGTTACACCGCGGTATGTGTGACGTCAGTCATACCCCATCCGTATGGTAACCTGCAGTGGGATTCCATCTTTCAATACGGCACGTGTTCTATCTTCTTTCGACAGAATGCGATTCTTATGTATTGTGTCTCTCTCTATTCGACACGTAACGTATTGAGTTTACACATAAAAATCCCTGTCCTGTTCTGTAGTAAACTTTTAAGGCCAAGTTCAACTTTGTTTGACATATAAACACGATTTTTTAGGTTACAAAATTGAATTATGGATTTTTTATTTTTTTATTCGAAGTAATACAAGACGTGTCACTTTAAATGTCTATCTCTTTATGTAACACGATGAATTTATAAAACATATGTCACTTTATGCTGCGTTTGAGAATCCACATCGGATGCATTTTTTACATCTCGAGCGTTTTTTTATCCACATCGGACACATCTGTCCCATTACATTTACGTATACTGAATCACGTGATCAAAGATTTTTTACATCTCAGATGCATCCGATGTGGATTCTCAAACGCGGCAAATGAATATGTGATGGCAACTGACGGCAACACTGTCAGCTACTAGAGAACATACAGGTCCGGTATAAGCCATATATAAATGGAAAATAATAATTTAATGTTTTGATTGAGTTAAATAAAATATCAAAATTAAGTGTTTATTTTTAAGTAAACGACATTTTTAAATATATACGTCTTCAATCAAAAATAATATAGGCTAATACTCAAGTGTATACGAGTGTACTGGACAAGAGATAATTTTACCCTTTACTCCAGTTTTTTGTAATGAAACCAGCGGTAAAATACATATTTGTGTACCAAGGCTGTGTTTTGGCCGAATTAGACATATGCGTTCGAGTCTAAGCTAGTTCTGGTTAAGTATAACAGTAATAGGCAAGAAACGGATGTTCAATCAAACTTAACATCGAGATAGATGTCACATAAGCAGGTGTACTGAAGATGAACTTTGCAGGACCAAGAATCAGATAGATATAACACTTGATATCTTGAAAACCATGCATACTACACTGAATAAGAACGAATGGAAGTATCAGAAGGAGGCTAAAGGCAAAAAATAGACGGAACAGAGCTGAATAGATAGATAAGTAATATTTTAGCCAGGAAAGAGTCGATGAATGTTATAAATATAGTAAATTTATGAATGTATTTTTAATGTATAATTTCAGTTTATTTTCATTTTTGGTATAAAACTATGGCTGACATAATAAAACTCTTAATATATTTTCCATCTTTATTACTATACATTATTTAGTTTTCATTTATTCTTGAAGATGAAAATCCGTTGTAAAAGACATAATTAAAACAATGATTTAGGTAAGATGAAATTAATCTCAACAGCGACTGATCAAACCCTAAGAGGGAAGGCCCACTCATGCGACACGTCGCGCGCGACTAATCGCGAAGCATCGCGCGCGGCAATACTTTAGATGTTTTTAAATGGGTTAAAGCCCATTAACACGGTTCTGCCGCGTGGTCGCACGCGGCTGAAAATTAGAAATGACAAACTCGCGATTTTCCTGCCGCACGCGGCCAGCATTATCATGGATTCTTAGAGGGAAAGCCCACTCATGCGGCACGTCGCTCGCGACTGATCGCGAGGCATCGCGCGCGGCTATACTTTAGATGTTTTTAAATGACTCAAAGCCCATTAACGCGGTTTTGTCGCGTGGTCGCACGCGGCTGAAAATTTGAAATGACAAACCCGCGATTTTCCTGCCGCACGCGGCCAGCGGTATCATGAATACATATGGAGCATCACTCATACAAACGTCAAGTCGCGTGCGAAACCCCAGCTGAGAGTTGGAGTTTCCTGTTAACTTTTCAGTTGTATATTGATATAGATGAATTTATATCCGATATTCAAGACCGACTTCAAATATCGAACAGTTAATTGAAATAAAATATCGAAAAAAATATTTGTTTGGGAATCGCTAGCAGTTCGTCAAATCGCACTACTCTCATTCTAAAATATTTGAAGAACTTATCTTCGTGTTGACGTAAATCCTTATGTAATAAATTAAATGCGCCTTTTACAAAAGGGTCTATAAATAATGGGTGAACCCAGTACCTACGTCGTTTCAATTTTTTCCGCCGACGAACAGAATAAAACAACACAGTTACTACTTCTTCCACCTCTATTTTGATACTGAACGGCTGTGTCGCTGCTTGTCGTCTGTTAAAAATCGCACCTAAAAAATCGCATGCGGCAGATCGCGCGCGACATGTCGCGTGAGTGGGCTTTCCCTCTTAGCTTTCCAACTTCCTTACAAAAATATTATGATTTATAGTTATTATTATTAAAATACATTATGGACAGGTTGTACAAAAAAAATTCTAAACTTTTTTAACTAACAAAAGTTTTATTTTTAAATGCATATAAATGATAAATGTCAACGCATGATCACTTTATTTATTTCTACATCGTTTCATTCGAAAATCGTTTGGGGGTTGGACATATTTGGATAAACTTATTCTAGTTTTATATCGACATCTTCTTTCAGATTACTTAAAATGTTGATAAGTATCTTTTTAATCAGTTCAAAAATTACGTCATCGTAATCTGTGATCATATATTTCTATTGCCTAGCCCGACTTAACCGATCTCTAGACTTCGAGTTTTCTGACAAATGAAATTTCGAACCTTCATTTGAAAATTTCACTTCAGTTTTTTAATTATGTCATCTATTAATTATTGTAACTAAATTATCGCGCACATAATTTTGATCTATAAACGATTGTAGTTTTTGCTATATTCAAAATTACTAAATGAACCGATAAAAATATGTCTTGCTCTAGCGCTCCATCTTGCATAAATTGGACCTGTCTAACGAACTACCAACATCCCCCGTTTTTATTCCTACTGTGGTACCTAATCTTAGGATTTGAGAAAGTTAGGGACATCGTCGATAGTTTACTTAGTGGTGAAGGAGGTGGTGGTGGTGATGAAGGTGGTGGAGAAGAAGAAGCACCAGCAGAGGAGGAAGAAGGATAATGAGGTCAATAAGCAGTTAAAGATAATCCCTAGACTATTTAAATTATTTTGTTTTATATCAATAACGTAAAATGGAGGCAAACTTTAGGTTTTTCTTAAAATTTTTTGCATTTTTTTACGATATTTGCTTCTTTAATGTGTATGGCTCCGGCGAAATTAAATCATCTGATGTACAGTGCGCGCGTACAGTGTGGAAATATAAATCAATTGATTGTGTTGAGATAGCAACGTTGCCACGTTTACAGTTTCTGGTACGTAATAAGCAATAAGTTCAAATAAAAATTCTTATCGGCATATCGTTGATACTGCAATACAAGCCAAACAAATTTAAGAATTCCTACAGACAATTTACTTTGCGATTATATATTTTAATAGTCCTATTATTTTATTAACGAACTATTTGAATGTGTATGAACTGGTAAGAATTACATATAAAGGGTCCTTAAATCTCCTATTTATGATGGTTTATCATAATGGAAACGCATCCAAAATTATTTGGTGTCTGTTTATGTCTGTAGTCTGTGGTTTACCTTGTTTAAGTGTATAATATGTTGCCTATGCTGCCTAACTAATATTCAAAATTATGCACATGGGTAACTGTAAATGTAGTAACGTTGCCAAAATTGCTCAATTTATTTACAGTGCAATCTATTTATCAAGAAAAGCTCTATTTTATCTATTGCATCGTTAAATGAATACATTTTTCTTTAATTTTTGGTTACTTAAGTAGATTTTGGTACTCGATACATTAAGGAAGGAAGGAACCTCGACTTTTTAAGCAATTTTTAACTATTTACCTGTATCATTACATATAAATAATGATCTTATGTCGTCTGTATTTTTCAAATTAAACACTATACGTATTGCGAAAATTGTAATCATTTAACAATATGTAATTTAGGGAAAATGAAATAATTTAGTTCATTTTAATTTTTATATATTCTGGGCTTTACGGCTTATTTAAATGTGAAATTATAAATCCACCGCACATGGAAGCAATATTGTTTTAAATATATTTGTATCATTCAAATGAGAGCACCCTTTTAGATTAATTATAAAATTGAAACAAATATGCATTTGCTCTTTATTTATTTATTAACAGTATTCCACCCAGACAGCACACCAAATCCTTTGGATATCTACTGAACATCCCAATATCCACTGAAAGTCCAGTCCATGGTAGATATCTATTTTATATTCATGAAATGTAATTTATAGACATGCAAATGTCCATAAATAATAGTAATTATATAGCAAATTATTAAAAAATTACGCCATTGTGGCTAATAGTACCGTTCAGATATTTAAAATTAATTTTTTTAAGGTGTATTCAATATCCAATGAACATCCACTAAATATATCAAAGTCTAGGCGCGAACGCATACCATCGTGGATATTCACTATAGATATTATTTGATTCTGCTTACTTAGTATAGATGGCGATACTACTATCGCATCTACTCATGCTCGACCCGCCGTAATTGAGTTCGATCGAAATTTGTGTCCTAATCACTCCATTAGAGACTGGAGTCGAGAATTTCCATTTATTGCTGAAGAGTCGTAATAAGGACGACTTTCTCCTTAGTGGGCAAAATCAAAGGCA